ACGGTCAACCTAAATATTTATCTTGTCCTTTACCACGAAAGCGAAAGACACCAGAAGACAGGACAAGAGAAATAAACGAACGGCGTGAAAATAATTTTAAAAAACTGTGTGCTGCAGACAACATTGTCTCCTTTTGAGAATTTTTGAAACTTTACAGCAATAAATTACCAAATACATGGGCAATAATGAAAGCATGTGATTATATACTTTTTTTGCGTATTGAGATGGAAGATTGTCCATCAGTCACTGTGTCATTTAAAGTCCAGCATGGTTTAACTGTTTCAGTTTTTTGTGAAGGTTTAAACATAACAAGTATGTTTGAATGGCTTTTGGGAAAAGATCTATTATGTAATAAATGGTCAAAATTTGAAAACCTTTCAAATCATCTGTACAGTTATGAGAAAACCTCAAAAACAGTCGAAGAAATGCTGGATTTGGTAACTGAAACTCTTCAGAAGTGTTCTAAAAATACATCAGAACAAATTATGATCTACCGATTAAATTTTTTTAGGGAACAGATATCATTACTGAAAGCTAAACGCCCAACCTACACAGCTGAAATGATGATATGGACTTGCACATTATTTTATAGCAGCCCTACGTCTTATTCTCGAATACGAGAAAGCTCGTCCTTGATTTTACCACATCCTTCCTACTTAAAAATGTTAGCATTAAATGTTGGATCGACAACGGGGTTAAATTCTAAGCATTTATCTCATAAATCTTCACAACTACAAAATCATGAAAAGGTTCTGAATCTTTTACTTGAGGAGATTTATATTAAATCTACTGTTGAATATAAGAATGGTAAAATTGAAGGCTTGTCATGTACAGATATGTCTCAAGAAGCTTCTACAATTCAAACCTTCATGATTTCTTCAATCTTATCTTCAAATAAACAAGTTGTTGCAATATTTCCTGTCCATAATCTCAAGCCAAACGATTTAAAAATTCAAACTTTACAGGTGTTAAAATTTGTTCACGATTGTGGCTTCGAGGTTGTTTCCATAATTTCCGACAACAACTATGTTAACCGAAAAATGTTTGAAATACTATGCAATGGTCATATGGTGTCTGCTATTGAAAATGAATTTTCGTTTGGAAAAAAAGATTTTTTATTATTTGATTCAGTTCATTTACTGAAATGTATAAGGAATAATTGGTTAAACCAAAGCTGAAAAATAATCAAACCTTTTAATATTTCCATCTTTTGATGATACAGATAATAAAGTTGTACTGTGCAAGTCTATTGCATCTGAAAAAATTATATAACATAGAGCAACAGAACTCTATAAAAATAGCTCCAGAAAAAGTTCGAATCCGACTTCGAAAAAAAAGTTCTACATCCAACTTCTTTAGAACGGCAGAATGTTTCTACTGTCGTTAAGCTTTTTGATGAAACGACTGTTGCAGCATTACATGTCGAATTAAAAGAAAACAAAACAGGATATGGAGAAACTGTTAGAGGAACAAAATATTTAATAGAAATAATTTTGAAATGGTGGAGTATAGCCAATGTTAAACATCCACGCAAGGGACTACATTTAGCAGATCCGAATCGTGAACCAGCATTTTCAATTAATGATGATAAAATTAAATTTCTCTCGAAAATTTTTGTACGTGGTTGATAAAATGGAATGGTGATGGGACAGGGAAAAGTCCGGAAAAACTGTTGGTCGACTCACCAGAGAAACATATCATGCACGTTGAAACATACAACCACAACTTTATTCTCAGCTTTCGGGATTATTTATTAAACGAATTTAAAATTCCAGTATGTGCTGTATGGAAAATTTCAAACAGACAATTTGGAGGCAAGATTTGGGACAATATCGCCAAATGAGTGGTGCAAAATTACCATATTTCACTGACTCAGGCTTTAGAATCTGAAAGGAAACTCCAGTTAATTAGCTGGATGAAATTGAATTCTTCAAAAAAGGGGAGTTCACAATAAAGACATTACAAACGGATAATGATGATTTAGACAAAGTCAGTTAGAAAAAGTTTGTTAGAAAAAGTCTCTAATAAAACAAATTGTTCAAAATGCAAAAATATTCTACATTTTGATAAGGTTTTATATAGAATGTGAAAATAATCTTTCAGATTATTTGAAGTGCATCGATAGAGGGGGGGGGTTATTGTGGCCTACTGAATTTCTTGTATATATTATTGCAGTTACATTTCAGATATTTTAAGGACTTTTTTCAGAACATTATGAAACTGACTTTTTATGTGCCAACAACCAAAAACTTTTATTGATACAACTTTCTGAAGAAAAACTAGATCTCATGAATATTGTAAAATGGAAATTGGTAAATTACGACGGTTATGTTTATCCTCAATTTCAAAAATTTTATTGAATAATTATACTAAAATTCGAAATGATCGTTTTAAAAAGCAAGCAAAACCCCAGAAAAGAAAAACCAATCCTTATTAATACAGTAATTTAATATCAGTAATCTGGAGCACTTGTTTAACATGCTTCGGTGAGTATACATTAATAAGTTTAATACTATAGTTACAACGTTCTTTCATAACCTATTACAATAAAAATATTAATTATGTTAGGCAAATTATTATTCCTTTATATTAAATTCAGTTAAATGTAATATCTGAAATTTATGAAACAAATATTTTTGTTATGAAAATGAGTATTTCTTAACCCGCATAGCACAAAAACATCCTTGAAATATCCTGAGGATGTTGCTCGCGGGATATTCGCACATCCACAGGACATCCCGGAATATCCCGCGAGTGCTTAATGTCACATCCCAGTATATCCTCAGGACATCCTAACAAAATCCCATCGACAGCGTACGGGATGTTATTAGGATCTGAACTCCTACTTACTACTCCTCAGGACATCCCGGGATATCCCACTAACCTCCTAAACACATCCCATTATATCCTAAGAACATCCTATCTATGTCCCATCGACATTTCGGTCCGGTTTCTTAGGCAGTAGCTCTCTTATGCCTTGCCATAAGTAAAGAAACTAAACCATTTGTTATGTAAATTTCTTTTATAACAAAATGGCATATAAAGAATTTCTTATTATAAAATAGATTTTACATTTTATCTCAAACCCTACCTATTTCTATGTTTATTTAAAAAATTTAAATTTGTTAGAAAAACTTAGATGGATGAGGGCGGCAGTTTTAAGTTTTTGCCCCGCCTTAGGAAAAATGCTAAATCCGGCGTTAGTAGCCACTGTTGCGTCTCGCTATCAGATCATACTAAACTTGTTAAATGGCTCTGTGTTCGCTTACTCTTTAGAACTCGGTAAAACGTTCCAGAACGGGGAAGAACCTTTAAAGTATAATTTAAGCACTCTCTCTATCAATTTGTCTCGAATATTTCGACAGCCGAAGTGGATGGTTATTTTCCGAAAAACGATAGAAAAGCGAAACTAAACTCTTCAAATAATCGATCGACGGATAGATATTAATCCATAATTACATAACAAGATTATCCAGAAAATACTTCTCCGTAATTTCATCACATTTTTGTCCATTGATTCAGTAATGGATACAGAGCAAGCTGTGCATTACCCGACAGAATTTTTAAATGCTTTTAAGCCCCTAGGAATAACAGCACACAAGCTCACTTTAAATAAAGAATCTTCTGTCATATTGTTGCGTAACATCAACCCGCTAAAGCTGCACATTGGAACAGGGCTCATCGTGAAGAATCTATTGCCGAATGTAATAGAGACAATCATCATCACGGAGTATGCCGCAGGGGGAGGGTTGAAAATGGTATTCATTGCTGGCATTCCGTTGATATCCAGAGATTTCAGTATGCTCCTAGATATCAAGCAATTGCAGTTTCCTATCCGGTTTGCATTTACTACGGGTATCAACAAGATACAGGTACAATGACTTTGTGTAGCACATATTGACTTTGAAGTACTATGTAATTTGGTTGCATTTTTTTTTCACATGCCCATATTGTACGTAGCTTGCTAGAGTCGGCTCGCCGGACAGTTTGTTTACGCTTCGGACAAAAAATGGTAAGCATAGTGTACTCTCAAGCTTTGTTATAAAAGGTGCAAAAAATAAATGTTTGTTTTATATCTGCATAAAATCTACAGTTTTATTTGAGCTTGTAAATTTTTCACAATTTTTTGATTTGTGTGTGTGAGGTAAAATTTTGCACTCGCCTTGAACCAAAACAAAAGGAAAATCACTATCTACCTAAGGTTTTGAAAAAGTCCCCCATCCCGTTAAATAAAGCCTCTTCACTCTGCTGGAATGTTAAATAAAGCCTCTTCACTCTGCTGCTCCATGCTCCGCATGGAAAATATTTAAAATTTTTTAATTCGGGGAATGGCAACACATTTCTTTTAAATCGCTGAGTTTGATGGTCATATTCAAAAGATAAATGTATTGCCAGTAGCAACGCACTTCTTTTATATCGCTGGGTTTTGTGGTTAAATTTGAAACATAAATATCTTATGCTTAGCAAAAGTGGCAACAGAAAGCTTTATCGATGATCGATGACACACATCCTTACTGTTTTATATTATATTATAGATTCTTTTTAATTGTTCCACAATAAACAAACTTGAACACCCTCTTTGGACAGTGCTCGATTTACTCGCAACCCAGTTAATCCGCCTCAGGTTAATTAATAGTTGAATGCATTTTAGTCCTTCTCCCTAGAGAGTAGAAAAGTACATTTATAATGATTAACAAATAAGAGAGAAATACAGGATTCTTGGCACAAAAATAAGCGAGTCTGTAAAAAATGGTACTGTATTATATTCCTCTTATGTTAACATTTTGTGTCATTGTTATAGATTATTTTATTTATTTTACCATTTGCTTCAGTCTTCAGATGACGACTGCTTATTAGAAAATATCCGATACCAGCCCAGTGATATTAAGCATATTACAAAGATTAATGTTCTTTCCATTTCATTTTCAAACAGAACTTTATTTTCTTATGTTTCTTAAGTTAAATATAAAAATATGTTCTTACAACAGTTTTTATTTTAGATATTCAAGCATGGACACAGAGCTCCTTTTAGAATTTACCCAAACGATCCGAATCCTCCCGAACTATGGCCAGATAGACTGGGAATGTTAACAAAGGTTGGTACATTTCTATCCTCAGTCTTATGAACAAATGTAAAAGATTTATTTTGAGAGTTTTAAAATTCAAAGAAAAATAAAACTCACAAATAAATCTTCATTTATGTTAGGCAAAATGAAACGCCAACTTAAATCATTTCTTTGAAGGTGTCATACATTGAATTTTTGTAGGAATTAATAGCTAGTTTCCATGACATTGGGTAGTTTGAATGTTATTAAAAAGCCATATGTGACTAACTTGGATTTAATGATCACCTGAATGTACTCAGAGAAGTTTACTGTTTCTTATTCGTTAGAACAAAATATCCATTATTTTCTATCATTAATGCGTTTGTCCCTTAATGAAATGAGCGTTCTGGAATGCACACTATATTATATTCGATAAGGATTTGGACTCGTGCTGCTATTCAGAGATACTTAATGTAAAAAATAATTGTACGTCCTGGCCAAGTTTATGTCAGATAGCGGTGTGAGATCAACATTTTGCCATAAGATAGACTTCCTAGTCTGGTATGAGAGCAGTAGTGAATCATTATGTGAAGCGGAATGTAGAAGACCGTAGATAAGTGTATAGTTAGTTCTTAAGTGAATAATGTCTGTATTTGGTGAGCAACTGCATGCGCAAACCGCTGTATTTAAATGGATTCTGCTCGGACTCTGTATTTAAGTGGATTCACTTCAGTATAAGAACTATATTTAACCTCAGTATAAGACATGAAAAATTAATAAAAAGAATGAGTAGTAGTAGATCTGTAGGAGAGGTACATCAATCGCAATGCAGCTTTGATACTTACCAATCGAAGCATTGCATTTGATGAATTACAACGTGAAAAGGCATTAACAGTTGTAGCTTACGATACAGTGCGAATTTGAAAATACGTAAAACAAGCACCGTACGATACTGTATAAATTTGAAGTGTAAAATTTGTGCTCAGTGGGTGGTCTAGAAGTACATTAAGCTACAGAAAGTACAATGAGTGCTACACTGACTACCAATAAGTATTTGGACACCTGTGATAGAAAAGAAAAACTAACTTTATTCAAAATCAATAGTTGGTAGAGCCTCCACGAGAGGTAATTACACCGGGGACCCTACAGGGCATACTTTCCACAAGTCTTTGTCTGACAGCTAGTGGTATTTTCTTCTACTCGGATTGGAGAAGACATAGAAGTTCATTCGCCGATTTTGCACGGGTAGTGCACCCCTGAATTCGGCGATGCAACTCTTTCCAGAAGTTCTCGATAGGGTTCAGGTCTGGACTCTGGTCAGGCCAGTCGATTCGATGAACTCCATTGGCACCATACCAAGCCTGGTTAACGTCGAACATGACAACTGGCATTGTCGTCCTGAAAGTAAAACAGGGGTCCAACCCGTAAAACTGCCACAAACGTAGGAAGCACATTGTCATCCAAAATAGTGCAGTAGGCATCGGAGTTGAGCTTACCATGAATGGGGACCAAGGGTCCCAGCCCATACCAGGAGAAACACCCCCCAGACCATAATTCCACCTCCGCCGAACTTGACTGTTGGCACAATGCATTTCTGGCAGGAACGTTCTCAGGTAACGCCAGACCCAGACCCTGCCATCCGAACGGTAAACGGTGAACCTTGATTCGTCGCTCCAAAGAACCCGTTTCCACCGATCTACGGTTCAATTTCGATGTGCTTTGCACCACATTAACCGAGCAGCGCGGTTAGACATTGTGATCAAAGGCTTATGGGCGCAGCAGCACGACCTTGAAAACCAAGCAGATGTGCTTCCTTACGAATGGTATTCATTGAAACAATACTCTCGGATGCCTGTTGAAACTCCTCGCGGATGAGGGCCTTCGGTTGGGTGCGGTTCTTCCGAATTTCTCTGGACAGCACTCGTCGGTCTCAATCTCCCAGTTTCGTTGGTCTGCCGACTCGGGGCACATTCCGACAATCACCGCTCACCTTCCACTTCTTAATCACATAGGCCACTGTCGATTTTGGGTACTTCAGATCCCTAGATATGTTCCTTAAGGATCGGCCACATTTGTGATACCCGATAATTATACCTTTGTCGAAATCAGAGAGCTCCGAACAGCGAGGCATCTTGCATGCGACTAAAGCCAATGTCATTGTCATAAAGCCGATGCTGTTTCCTACACGATATATACCGGCGGAGTCCGTGACGTACCATAGGACCGCAGATATCGTCATTTGCATAGGTGTCCAAATACTTATTGGTAGTCAGTGTATAATGCCAATAATATTTACATCGAAAAATGAAGTTATGCATTTTTCGATAAGATCGAGGACAATCCGCGACTTCAACTATTCACCATAAATGAAAAACTGTAATAGGTTACTCATGGGTAAGTCCGCAGTACCTGCTCTTAAAGAATGGTTACCTGCTGACCATCGTAAAGTTCCCTGAGAAATAGGAAACCTGTATCTAGTTGCATGGGAGTTACCTGCATAATATGCATACACGTATTCCTATAATTGAAGCATGTCACTTTCACACTGTCACTTTACTCTTCTTAGTCAAATCATATTAAACGATCCAATTAGAACTGAATATACGTGTGTTCAAAAAGAAAGTCATTTCGAGTATACTTTGTAAAATTTTCTCCAATGCTGTGCTGATGGGGAATCCTGTAGAAAACTTCTTTGAATATCGAAAAGAATCTGCATGAGTCCATAGTAATGCTTCAATTTTTTATAGAGTCAATAACAGTAAGTTTCGTTTAATTTTAAAGAAAATATCATTTGACGGCATCTGACATTAAAGCTTAATTTCCAAGCTTAGGCTAGTAAATCTTCCGATCAGCTTCATAAGCTTTATGAATTTTCCTAAGATCTATTCTCAAGCCGACCCTTTAGTATTTATAAGCCTTTAATATTCATTATTTTAGTAGCCTCAATATTGTTACGAATTTTGTACTTAGATAGCTAATTTTAATAAAATTATAAGTAAAATTGTTGTAATTTTCTCTCTAATTTTAAGAGAAGGTTATGCCAGAAAAGTAAGAATACAGGGGCAAGTAAGTTTAACATTGAGTAAATGGGTATATCGATAATTTGCTGAGATGTCGCCAAGCCGACAACGGTTTTGGCGACTTATTTTGTCACAATATTTGGCGACCCTTTAGCGACATTTCGGTCCGGTTCCTGTATCACCGTAATATATACTGAAATTAAATAGATGTAATTGACCGCTATGTTAGCTATAAACGTAATTCCACCCTCATATTGCTTTCCAGTAATTTTCGAGAAGTAGCAAGTACTACAAATATCTAGGCGGCCGGTTAAAATCTATTTAAGGTCGAAGAGAAGCATCTGCTGTCCAGCTGCTTATTAATTGTTGCTGCGAGTTGTTGCGAGCTTCCGCGTAAACTCAGATATATGAGTTTGCTTTCTCTTTAGATGCGCTTTGCATTACAATGTGTTTACCGTTCTTAGTGGTCCAAAGTGTAACTACTGATTATATTGCGTGACACTGTGAACATGTGTACGAATATTTCTGTGGAAAATTCCAGAGCTCTGAAATATTTCTTTCTGTAAGTAAATTTTTATTAATATATTATCGGACTTATGCATTTAGTCTATTACGCACCCGTACGCATGCAACGATATATATATATATAAACGATTTGCCAATGCCGCTGACACTGCAAGAATTAAATATGTGTGATGACGCAGCAAGTATTACGTAATCTTTCAATTCACAGTTTACAACGACAAAGAAAAATTTAAACATCACTACTAAAAATCATGAAATCCAATGGTGCCAGACTTCTGGACTGTATTATTATACAGGTGAAAGCATCCTTTTAGGATTTTATTAAAACGCAACAATAAAAATGAGCAATACATTTTTTATGATACATGTGTAGGATTTTGTGTTATAATTAACCGGTTATTATTATTTGAACTTCGTTTTTCCATAGTCCTCAAAAGAATGCTAATTAGTTTTTGTGTACTTAAGGCGAAGGTTTGAATGTTCTAGAGTTAGATATGTATTAGAATGTTTTAAAGTTAGAGTCTAGCAGCCTCATCTTGCAGTTACGTATTTTCACCAGGTCTGCTAAAGTTATTTCGGCTTTAACATCTTACTAAGGTACGTTTAAGTGCCGTCAATGAGCCAACTTAAATAGTCTACATTGTATATAATCTCAGGTTTCGTTACCTAAACAAAAATTACTTCAGCCGCAAAGATGGGATGGTGGTTAGTGTTGAAGAGTGCCTTACCAAAGGGCTCGGGTCCGAATTCCGGAGAAGGCATGGATAATGTAAACGTATATTATCTGTGCGGCAAGGGAGCACTCAATATACACGGCCACCTCGTACCGCTACCCGGGTGTTTTCTCTGATAACTGGAGTGGAAGCATAACAGTTAGCTAGGGTCAGCAGTACTTGAACCACCTGTGGTTATACAAAGATGTTGGCTTACCTTCGACCTCTACCTATTATATTAAAAACCCACAAGTGGTGGAGGTTCGTCTGTAGCACAAGTAGTGCCTTATGTTTATTAAGATTAAATGAAAAGTTTTTTTAAATCTTCTTACGATTTGCTTCAATTAAAAAAGCTTCTAAAGATAGCAGAACCCTATATATATGTGATGTATCAGCTTTAGTCGTAACTTAAATAATCAGACGATAAGTTTAAAAAACAGAATCCATTTATTATTATTCAGGAGAAAAAGCAGTTACAAAAATCAGATATCCGGAGTAAATAAAAAGAATTACTAATAACTTTTTGTATGTAGTTTACTGCATCGTGACATTTAAGAAAAAGCCCCGATATTCCTTTTGCGAGTCTTTTCATAGCCTCTGGAAAGGCGGAGCTTCCAAGAAATGACGTCAGCCAGTTTGCTTTAAATATCTCCAGAACATTCCAAAACTGTACGTGTAGAAAAGGCGGGAAAAACAACTTGACTACGGGGCTGTGGATTTAATTCCACGTACTTTCAAATAAGAGAACGTCGCCATTAAAAGTGAAAAGAACATACCGTTAGAATTTTAAGTG